CTTGGTGAACCTTTAGGCTCTTGCAATACATCAGCCTGATGAACACTACTCCTGGTTACACAAAAAAGTTTGAAAAGTGACCTACAGATATCCAACACAGCAGTGTCTGAAACTTGAAATGGCTCTGAGATGGATGAATGATGCCATATATCTCTGGAACATTAAATCTAAGAAAGTGTCTGGGGAGGATACCTCGAAAGTGCTAGAGGAAGCTGGAGAAAAGAAATTATCTGAATGCAGCTTGCTGATCCAAAAGGATACACTTGGAGGCAACTGTCTCTCTGGGCACTGACAGATGAGCAGCTCCCCTCTCCAACTCATGGTGCTTCACAGAAAGTGCAATGAGTTAAAGCAACCCCCCCGACCCGACCCAACACACTTTCATTCACCTGTTTTAGGGAGCGGCAAGAGAAATCGAGCTCCAGTTTGGAGTTGATCCAGCAGAGGAGCCTGCCAGCAGCCTTCTTCCCTTAGGCTTGCCTCCACCTCACAAATCCAGGTCTGTCTGCAGGAAGGGATCAGGAAGGAGCTGCAGGCTGGGGTTTACCCAGCCTGAGCTGGAAGGGGTGGAAGGTGGCAGGGGGAAATCCAATTCACCCACTCCCTCTCCAGCTCAGGTTAGGCAAACCCCAGCCCATAGCTCCCTTTCCTCCTCCCTTCTCTTCCCTCCCTTCCTGCAGACAGCACCAGGGGCAGGGCTGAGCTGCATCAGTCGGCCCTGATCTCGCACAGGGATTGACAGAAGTTCCCTAAGGAGCTCCGCTTTGGAGTGCCTTCATCTGATCCCTCATCAGATGAGGGCTAATTTGTTGTGCAATCAGTCACTTTTAAAGTTCTCTGCAGCCATCTGTGCATGTCATGGCACAGCTTTAGGCACTTTCAGGAGGCTGATCACATGACAAATGTCACATCTTTCAGTGCCTGCTAGGAGAGAAGGAAATCTCCTACTACCCTTGATGCAAGAAAAAGGGCCCACCCCATGCTGCTGTCCTGTCCTCTGTGGGGACAAGAGAGACTTCATTGATACCATTACTCCAAGTATTTCCAATTCAGGTCAGGGCCACAGTATGGTGTGCAGGTACAGACTGGCCCCATGTTATGATGTGCTGAGAGCCCAGTATTCCCAACAGACCCAATTCTGACTTCAGTTCCATGCGTGTAAATCCAAGGTAACTCCTTTGCATCCAGTCTTTAGTGGCAATGCCATCCAGGGTGGCAAGCTTGATAAAACTTGCAACCCAAGCAGGCTGGGTCTGCTAGTCACTGCTTGAGTGAGATTCATAGACAACATTATCTCCCCTTCCCAGGGCAAACCAGTGCTCCAGAATGGTGACATGCAGCACTGGGCTGCTGGATATCGTGTCAATCTTGGACCCTGGCAACTTGTGGTCAGTCAATATTCTACAGCAATATTTATAAAAGGGGTAGATGTCCCTAACAGATCCAGTTTATTTACTAAACAGTCCAGTTTACTGAAAAAGCCCCCGTATTCTCAATTGGACAATTTAGTTCCTAAACTGACTTGTTCTGTTGCTGGTAAACACACATGAGAGTTGGCTAAAGAGATATTTGCTTTTTCAGAAGAATTATTATTACTCTTGTATTTATAAATTACAGTTTTTATCCATTTCAATCAGTGGCAAATTCAAGCACATTAATTTACTTATTTGTCTTTTAATCAATATGAACACAATACTTTCAAGAGTTTAAGCAAAAAAATACTGTTGTAAGCACAATACTATTAAAATTAGAAAGACAGGGTATAATAATTTTATAAAATTGTAGGCATGATTGATTTTTTAATGGACTACTCACTTGTTCTCTGACCCTTAAGGATTTTTGTTCCAAGCCTCTTTATACATAGTAAATTCATTAAATCCAACCTAGTTCCCAAAAGTATTGCATCATTATAAGTATAGAGCATCAAATACTGAGTAAAACAGAGTAACTGAATTGTGCCATTGAAAATACAATGAAAGTTAAAATAGCAGCCATTAGGAGCCAGCACTATTTGGCCAGAAACATGTTATTATTTTCTAATAATTGTTTTTTAGACTTTTGGTTAATTTGTGAGAGCAATGAACATTATTATAATGCATCAGATGTACTTTAGAAAATGAAAATCTCTGCCAACTGACTAAAAATTTGCAATATCAATGGATTGAGGCATCACCTGAATGTAAACAGAAGAAAAGACCTAGCTCACTTTGGCTGCTCTATTATCACTATTTATCAGTAGGACAGATCACTGTCCCAAGGAACTTACAATGTAGTTTTAAACATGACACAATGGGTGGAACACATACAATGAAGTCAACCGATACGAAGTGGGAGGAAGCACATGACAGCATCATCTTCCCATTGTTATCCAGTTCTGGAACGTGCATGTGTTGTGGGTTTAAAGGACCTGCATGACAACATCATCTTCCCAATGCTAGTTAGTTTTGGAATGCACGCATATTGTGGGTTCAAATAAATATATTAATTCCTTTTTGGCAAAAGACATGAGAAATTAAGACATATAGGAGGGAGGTGGGAGTTTTGTGGTGGACGAAGAATGTTCCTCACATAAGGACTACATACGTTGAATTGTACTGCAAACCACATGCTCTCAAATAAGACATGCATCTTGCTTTTGGGGAAGCAGAATGAAGAAGAAAGATTTTTCCTATGTTATGGCAGCACAGAGCAGGAAACAAACAGTATCTTCAGCTCACTCCTCATCCTTTTTCTGTTCAGGCAAAAGCTACAGTTTTACCTTTTCATAGCTGAACTGTCAGCAGCTCTCGGCTATTCAGCCAAAAGCTGAAAGTGTAGCTGCTGCTAATGACTGGACTCCATGACCAGGTGCAGGATTTTGAAAAGACTTAAAAACAGTCTGCAGGGCTGTGAAGCAGGAGAGAGACCAGCTAACAGCAAAATTCCCAAAGAAAGAATAGCTTGATTAGTGGAACTTCAGGACCATTGAAAAGGAGAGGGGGTCATTAACACAAGTGAAGTGAAGAGCAATTTTCAGGAATCCGGTAGATTGTAATAAGTCACAAACTCAAATTATTCTATCATAGGTGCCTACATAGAAATTCCACTGTTGCTGCAGGGCAGTTGGTTTTAAAGTTTGGATGCAGCCGGAATCAAAGTAGGATGGGACCACATTAATGCACCTCCCTTGGGTCTGCCCCTGGTAGACCCTGCCTCTTTCTCCATGCAGCTGCTAAAGGAAAGAGACAGGAAGGAAGCAACAGCCATATCCACGCTTCTACTTTGGGCAGAAAAATCAGCTTCCCTATGTAAGATATGCACCTGAATTTTGGAAGGTTAATTTTGGGGGGAAAGCTAAGTGTGGTATGTATGTAAATATGGTAAATAATTGTACAGTGGTACAAGAGCATCCAATTTGCATGATCCGTCTTCTCTCATGACATGCAGATTCTATAGTCCTACCAATATTAGCTAGAGAGAGTGCACATTTTTCTCATACAAAAAATAAATTGTGGGCATCATGCAGAGATTTCAACGTTCAGCTTTGTTCTTAAATGTGCATATACACAAATGCAAACATATATATAAATGCATACTTTGTCACACCCTTCCAGTTCGAAAGTTCCCTTTACTATTTCATATGCAAGACTAATCATTTGAAGCCCACTCCCTCCCCCACCCCACCCCCAGACAAAAAAAGAAAAAAAAAAAGGAAAAGTAAAAACTCAAGAAGGTGCTTAATGTTCTGCTTTTTAATGTTGTCAGTACAAAGATTTTAAATAGACCAGCCATGGGTAAAGAAAAATTGAAAGCCATGAGTCAGGCTACCTCTACTAGAAATGGGAAACCAGTGATAATTTGACACTTAAAACTCTGCCCACAGTCCAGTCCAATATACCTTTTGCAAACCAAAGACCAAATATAGAATTCAAAGACTTCAATGCCAGAGAGACAATTATCGTAAGTTATTTTGATCTCCTGCAAAATGCTGGCCATAAAATTTCTCCCAATGTGTCCTATCATACATCATGCCTTCAGTTGTGGTTTAGCTGTATCATCTCTTTTAAAAGCACAGACAGCCCTCACTCCATTCCTATGCAAATTGTTTCAGTGGTTACATTACCCTCACTGGTAAAACTGTCTGAATTTGTCTAGTGCCAACTTTGAGCCAATACATCTTGCTCTCCTTGTATCTATTAGACTGAACAACTTTCTAGTCTCCGAAATCTTCTTCCATGGAGCCACTTATCGAGTGAGCAAGTAATTTCCTAATCTCTCTGGATTTGATCTTAACTAAAATAATTAAGAGATAAGACAGCCTAGGCCTAGAGTCACTGGGACTGCAACCAGCGGGGTGAAATCGAGATGGAAAATATTAACTTGCCCAAAATACTGAAGAGCATGACACACAAATAAAACGCAGGCTTGTAACATCAAGGGAAGAGGAGTGGAAGGCAAAAACAGAGGTATTCATCACACTTTTTTTTTTTTTCTTTTTTTATGATTAACAGTTTAATGTACACATCACTCTAGGACAACAAAAACAGACTGAACTCCAGTGACAAATTTATTTGGAATGATCAAATTTAAAATTCCTGTTTCAGAACAGCATAATAGCAACTAACAATAAACTAGATAGGAAATGACTGAGGGAAAGATACAAAATGTATTTCAAATTTATACGAATATTTGTTCTCTGAAAATGTCTATGAAAGCAATTATTGTATGTCTTGCACAAATAATGAAATTTATCATTTCATGTGCCTTAGGAAAGAAATAATTATACAGCCACTCCTGATTTTGGAAAACATATTGAGCATAGGCCAGGGAAAAAGTGTGGCTTCCTAGGTTTCCAGTTTCCTCTTATTTCTTCCTATGATGTTAACCATATAAGCGTATCCAATATTTGGGCAACTTCATCAATGAAAACTGTATGGCAAGTGAAGGTAAACTCTTTAGTTTAAAAACAACCAAAAAAGAAAACTCTCTCCATCAAGGTTTAAGCAAATACTGAAGTCTACCTCTCCTGTTCTTGCTTCATTCGTATTCTCTCCTCTTCTGAAGTGAGGGCTTCCTGCACTTTTATTTTACCAGTTTTCTCAATCTTGTCATCTTTGCGATGTTTGCCAAACCTGTTAATAACACAAAAAATTCTATCTTGTAAATTGAACACACACATTTTTCCTATAGTAGTGCTCTCATTGCAGGAGCTGCTGCTGAAAACCAGGGGAGACTGCTAAGACTGCTGAATCTCAATGTTTATCAGCTATAGCTGCTTGATTGTTTTGTTTTCCTTTAGCACTCATAAAGGTTAATTGTTCTGTAAACACTTCAGCTATTTTTTTCTGTAAGCATTTCTGGGTTATTACTTTTAAATGGTCAACCAATGTTTTTAAAATTACTCAACACTATGACTGCTCTGTTTATGTTAGCCCTCCCTCAATTACTAACTGTAAAAGACAAAAAAAAGTCTTATCTCTTTAATAGTGCTCGATAAGCAGTATTGTCCAAGTCACCCCATAGTAGCAGCTGCACTGGATATATTGGGAAGAATTCAAAATGGTAGTTTGAACCTCTAAAGCACCAAATGGTTTGCAGCCGTGTTACCTGTAGAACTGCCCTTCTTATGAATATGCGAATGCAAGTAAAATCAGTGAAGATCCTTAATTTGAGCTTTCCCTGCTGCTCTAGAGGAGGAAGAGGGCCTCTCAAAAAGGGTTTCTCAGTTTTGGAAGTCCTTTCCCCTACTTTGTCACCCAGATCTCTTCACATTTGTTAAGGTTCTAGGCATCTTGCAGAGTTCATTATTTTCTTCCATACATTTGGGGAAGAAAACTGGCTGAAAACTGGCTGATGGTGGAAACATGTATTTATTATTAGGACAAGTGTGAGCTATTAGTTATTTTATACCCTTGTAGATGGAACAACATCTTCTACACACTGAAATAATTAAATACACAAAAATGCCTCAAGTTTTCGAGATTAAGACCACAACTCTCTGGATGGCTTAAAGTACAAGGATAATATCTACATATCTAGTAAGCATATTGTGTTTATCACATCAAAGGCTCTTAGATTATTTTTTCATCAAATGCTCTGCTGAAACTGATGAAAGCAGATTGCCACTCATGGCACTATTCACTCAGAAGTTCACATCAAAAGTAAAATGGAAGTACTAACAACGTGCAAAGTAGACCCAGACCACTGAAACAACGTGGTCTAGGCATAATGCTTACAAATGCAAGAACACAAACTCAAAGCTCTTTAAACAATTTACATTAACTGGTCAGAGGAGACCAGCAGACGCTTAGAACATCTTTTCCTCCTTTGCACCTTTAACAGAAAGCCACTGTGTAGACTGAAGACATAAGGCACAGTGACCTCATCGAAAGATTAATCTATGGCCACTCAGTCAACAGAAAATATTATATAAGGCAGCCAAATTAATGGATCGTAGGGGCAGCTGTTAAAATACATGCGGGAAAGGAGGAATATGAAAGTCTTGAAGTACATGGGTGTTGTCCATCTTTCCCAGAATGCTGATTTCCTAAGTAACCCAGGCATATAAAAATCACATCGCTCATTAATAATTGTTTGGAAAGGAAAAGAAAGGACTTGACAGCGCTGAAGAACAGGATACACAAAAATGAGACATGACAGCAATTGCAATCTCTGGTTGTATACTGTGACAGCTGCTTTATGTATCATTTTTATAAATAAAATTCAATCAGTTGCTACAAATACCTGGATAGTCCTTTAAAAATATTCCCCTGTTTATTTAATAAATAGCACATTAATAATTCAGTATTAGTTGCACCACTTAACACGGTGAAAATTACTTATCTGACACGAGGATCTTCATCCCAATTCTAGATCCAAAACACCTGGTAAAAAGGAGCAATGTGGTATAAAGGGGCCCTAAAAATCAGGTGCCTGGCAAACATTCATTTAGTGGTATGATGGAATCTGTTTCCCAATCGCAACAAGCACACCTCCAGCCATACCACATGTACATGGGATTGGGGATCAGATCCCAACTGTGCCACTACTAGTGGTCAGTGCAGGGGAAAGTCTGGGTTCATGATCCTGGGCTCCTACTGCACCAGCAAGTTGAAAGCCAGGTGCCTACAACCTGGTGTGGACTAGCACATTCTAGGGCTGGAAATGATAATCATCCGATTATCTGGTGTGCGAAGCGGGCCCTATTTGATTTGCATTTGGATTTGGCCCAAATCAGGGACAGCGATTCGATTAATTGATTTGGATCACTGTCCCTGATTCGATTTGGTCAAATCTGAAACTGAGGATTCAATGCCGATTCAGAGAATCAGTGATTCGTACACAGACACAGCTTTAAAAGGTTTTTCTACATATCTTGAGGTAGCAGGCACAGCTTGTGAAGGCTGCGGTGCTGGGGCACATGGGGCGTCCCACAGGAGTGCGAGGGGCCCTCCATGTGCTCCGCAGCAAACCAGGAAGTGGACCAGAAGCACTTCTGGGTCTGCTGGGGAGCGTGCTGTGGTGGGGCCCCTGTGCCTCCCCAGCTTGGTGATCAGTCACAGGGGGACCCCGGGTGCCCCCCACCAGACCCAGGAGGCACCAGTCAC